GTAGAGCCGCGGTCTGTGACCGGCCTGCTCAGAGAGAGACAGAGGGCTCATTGTGACGGCACACTTGGCCCCTTGTCCCAGATCACTGGAGCCTGCTGCTGTGAGACGCACGTGTGTGGGTCCCTGCGAGCTGGGTCTGTTAGTACACAGCTGTGCAGGGGCGTTTCGCCACAGCTCCCCTCCTCCCCAGCTTACCAACTTACCAGCAGCAGCAGCAGCAAATGTGAGAGGTAGCATTGCTCATCACAGGCTCTTTGTTCACAGCTTTGAAGCAGTTGAGCTACTGTGGGGGTTTTCTGCTGTGCGCAAGATCACAAAAAATAGACTCGAAAACAACACGTTATGCCCTGTTTCATTGTCCGTGGCTCCTTTGATTAATCGCTCTTGGGTTTTGTTTTTGGGGTTTGCAGGAATAATCCTACTTACTGCCTCGTGTGGGCTGTAGTAGGAACTGGGCCGGTCTTACATGTGTGAGGCTTGATCAGCTGAAGTAGATGCCGGGTTTTGTAAGGCTAGCAGCCGTATCGCCCTGTAACTCGCAACTGGCAGCCCCACTGAAGCTCAGCAGGGGTGAGCCTGGTCAGTACCTGGATGGGAGACCTCCTGGGAAAAACTAAGGCTGCTGCTGGAAGAGGTGTTAGTGGGGCCAGCGGGGGGCGCTCACCCTGCGGTCTGTGTGGGTCCTACTGCCCTGCTACTGTAATGGGGACACTATACTGGGAAAAAAAGGCATGGAACTGGCATTTGTTTAGCACAGCAAGTGTGAATTCCCTACATCTCTGTCCCCTTCCACTAAATAAGCCACTAAGCCTGTGAAATGAGGGCATGCTTAATTCCCACAGGCCTCCTGACCGAAGGTCCAACTCAATTTTAAGCCGCAGAGGAATTTTTGTAGAGCAATTGATAATGATATTGTCCTTGATCACGGAGCCCATTATCTCTTTGCTCCACAACAGCTCCACTGTTAGGTGGTACCTGGTAAAGGCAAGACATATGGCTATCTGAGCCTTTGGAGGATCTGCTGCAGGAAGAGCATTGTCACTCGGACATCAGAATACTCTCTTTCACCTTCTTTTGCTCTCTAAAACAAAGTTTGGCTTTCCCCCGAAGCTTATTTTTACTCTTAAAACCCAAGTCAGATAGACATTTTTGCAGATTTAGCACAATTCTCTCCGACAGTGAGCTTTCCTGTTTTTCAAGTGCAGGTGACATAGGCAATAAAACATTACTTTTTCAGTTTCTCGGCCTTAATGAACAGCTGAATTAACTTAAAGAAATGCAAGTGTGCCTATTCCTCCTGGACTTTGTGGATTATTTGTAGTCATTCATACTAAGTAGGCAAACCTAGAGAGTCCAAATGTATGAAGGTCTGTTTGTTCTTTTAACAATATTTGGTTTTGGAAGAGCAGATTCACAGGTAGAAGTACTGTGCGGAAAAAAAAATAATGCACATAAAGTTTCAGAGCTGTACGTAGCCCTCCAGGAACCATGATGATCAGCAGTCTCAAATCTTGCATTTTGTCTCACGTTCCTCAATTTCGCTGTCCTTCAGCATGACTAGACTACTAATCGTTTGTGGTAACTGCTAACTGAGAATCCCTCCCACATTTCAGTCCCTTCTCTACGAAATTAAACTCTTGGAACTTTCTTGCCTTTTGACTCCACGCTTGAATTCTGCCTTCAATTCTTCCCACACTCGTACAAATCCATTCAAGTTGAAGTATTTCAAAAGCTTGTTAATTTAGGAAAGGGAACGAACTTCAATGTGTGGAATGAAAAATTTCGGGATCTTGTTTTGAAAAGATGTAACTCTTTCCTGGCCGGTAGGTTTCCCTGGCAACTGGAGAATTAGCACTTAGGTGTGGTCTGCCCCTACCTTGTTTTGAAGGGTTTTCGCTAACCCGAGGAAACGCCAAAATCTTTCAAGGACTCTGCTGTGAGGTTAAATGTCTTGCTTCATGGCGTATCACCAAGACGAGGGAACAACTCGACCAAAACGTTCAAGAAAAGTGGTCGGATTTCAGCTGTCAAAGCTCGGACCCTCCTGTTTGAGTTAGACATGTGGCGCACTGAGGGCTCCATCGCGGCCACAGTCTCCTTCCTGCACATTTTCTGCCTCTGCTGTCCATCTGCTTTGATTCGTTTCATTCCCAGCTAAGCCACCTGCCGATGTTCTCTACACCAGAATTAAAAATCCAGATGTTCTTTTCTCTAACCCAACGGGAAGTCGCGCGCACGCTCCAGGTTCATCACAATTATCTTATTTTGCCGCAGATGTGGCACCATGTGGTCAATGCGACATGCGAGGCAGTGAAATTATGAGGCGGGGGATTACATTCTGATGTTATGAATGAAATGAATAGTTACTCCAGAGATACTGGGATGGGGATTTTAAAAAATGAGACACAGGACACTTAATAATAATAATTATTGCTTACACTTACATAGCGCTGTACAGGTATTGGGGATCCCCTCCACACCCACCAGTGTGCAGCCCCACCTGGACAATGGGACGGCAGCCATAGTGCGCCAGAACGCTCACCACACACCAGCTCTCAGTGGGGAGGAGAGCAGAGTAATGAAGCCAGTTCAGAGATGGGGATTATTATGAGGCCATGATTGGTAAGGCCAATGGGAAATTTGGCCATGACGCCGGGGCTACACCCCTACTCTTTTCGAGAAACACCCTGGGATTTTTAATGACCACAGAGAGTCAGGACCTCGGTTTTACGTCTCATCCGACTTAAAACATTTGAGAAAGTTCTGGGCTTTTCTGTGGGAGTATCTGTGAGATAGACGGTAAGTTGTTTTTTGTTTGGTCTTGTCAACAGGCGAAACTTAACCAAGCTGTCACTGATATTCAGTCACATGCTGGCGGAGCTGAAAGCCATATTTCCCAACGGCCTGTTCCAGGGAGACAACTTCCGGATCACCAAGGCCGACGCCGCCGAGTTCTGGAGGAAGTCTTTCGGTGACAAGTGGGTTTCCTACGCCGCCAGCCCCCCCCTCGCCCCCCCGCCATGCTCCCAGAATCCTACTTTTGCACCTGCTGTTGGGCCGTGCACAAAAACCTTTTATGCTCTTGTTTTCTCGTATTTAATTAAGGATGCTTAATGAGTACATGTTCAATCCATAGAACAACCAGTGATTAATGGTGAATCCTTCCAAATCGGGAGTTATTGTTGCATGAGTAGATGCACTTTTGTGTAAATTTCCAGAGAATCTAGCGCATGTTATCAGCCAGGGCAGGAGTTTTCGTTGGGCGGAGCGGTGGCTCTGTGGGTCAGGATCTGCGCCTGTGGCTGGAAGGTTGCCGGTTCGTATCCTGCGGCCGGCAGGGGAATCCTGATCCGTTGGGCCCCTGAGCAAGGCCCTTAACCCCAACTGCTCCAGGGGAGCTGTATAAAGGGCCAACCCTGCGCTCTGACCGCAAGCTTCTCTCCCTGTCTGTGTGTCTCATGGAGAGCAAGTTGGGGTATGCAAAAAAGACAAATTCCTAATGCAAGAAATTGTCTATGGCCAATAAAGTGATCTGATCTTATCTGAAAAAAAAAAAGCTCCTGAAGGTTTCTACCTGCAGCCCTGGCTCAGTCCCTCCTTTGCTCCCACAGGACCATCGTGCCCTGGAAGGTGTTCCGTCAGGCCCTGCACGAATTCCACCCCATCAGCTCCGGCCTGGAGGCCATGGCCCTGAAGTCCACCATCGACCTCACCTGCAACGACTACATCTCCGTCTTCGAGTTCGACATCTTCACGCGGCTGTTTCAGGTTGGAGTTTTTAACAGCGCGTGTGTGTGTGTGTGGGGGGGGGGGTATTCTGTGTGTCTGTGACGCTCGCCCTTCGATGCTCGGGTCAGCAACTTCTGTCTTTTTTTTTTTGGGCTCTTCAGAGAATGTGTGGAAATAAAGATCAGGTGACGTCCTGCCCCCTACACAAGTCTGTTTGTTTTTCAGAACAGGGAAGTCTAATGCTTCCTTGTTTGCTCAAATGTGGTTTTTGTTCTCCATTTAGGACGCTTCACCAAGCTGTCAGAAAAGTTAATAATAGACAGTGAGATGTCATTCAGATAACACCTTTTTGTTCCTTTGATATAGTGACCATGATGCTCTGGACCTGCCTAAACTAAGCTCGGCTGTTGTGACTCTGAAACACAGCCTTTGCAAAAGTGGAAAGATTGAGACTCTTTCACTTCTTCACTGACCTGGTTTCTTTATTGGAAAATGAATGTAAATCCCCTCTGTAGAAAGCTTGTGCTGCATAAACTTAGTAGGTGCTGCCTCCCTTTGGCCCACGTAGCCTGACAGAGCGCCCTTCTTTTGTTTCTGTTTCTGATTTCATTGCGGTCTGCCGTGTGAGAGCCGTTAACAGCCCTGTTTTGAGTGAGAGTACACAGTTCTCCTCAAGCACTTGAGTTGAACTAGGGTCACTGTCTTGGCCTTGGCCAAACCTGCATACCCAGTGAGCACCAACAGCCAGCGTGTGGAGTCGGGCATCGAGAGAAATTATTGTGGCAACACTGACCAATCCCAGATCCTGGGATCCTGCCGGGTTGAAATATTCATTTTCTTCTTGCGACGTTTGTCTCCACTTTTAAGCCTTTGCTTTGGTTTTGCGTAGATTTTGTCCAAAATGCTGGGCTTCACCTGACTTGTGATGGATCCGCATAGCTGTACAAATGGAGGAAGCAGCCCACACAGTGCCCTTGACGCAGCCTGCCTTACGGACGATCGATAATTCATAGTGGTCCCCTTGTTAATGGGCCGAGCACACTCCTGGCCTCTTTAACCATTAAACTCCTGCCTTCCGGAGAGCAGAAAGACAGGAGGGTAGCGTCAGTCTAAGAGTTCTGAGCGCAAGGCCAGTGTGCTCTTGCTTCTGCTCCAAGAACTGCAAATCCCTTTTCTGCAAGCCTGCTCCATTTAATTGAATAACCGTGCACTGATTTCTCCGAGCTGTGTAAAGCACAGTGAATTGCTGCCCTCCTCCCTGCATTTGGAAAACATGCTGCTTTTTTTTCCGCAATAGCATTGTGCACCCGGCATTTAAAAAAAAAATCAGTCCCCTCCCCATTTTTAATACACAAAATTAAACACAAACTTCAACATTTGCGACATTTGGCTCCAGCCCTCCTTGTAAGTAATTGTTTCATTACATTAAAGTGCTTTTAAGCAGACAGGACAGAATTGCGCTACGTTTATTGAGGGTTTGCGAAAGGAGGTCACTATAGTTCATATTTGTGTGTGTGTGTGTGGGGGGGGGATTAATTTTTCAAAATTGCAAGATTCAGGCCAGGATGAAATCAAAACTTCCAGCCCGCTCGCCAAATGCAAATTACAAACCCAGTGCTTGATGGAGGATTCGTGTTTGCCAGAAGAGGTTTCTGTCTTCCCAGTAAATAAGAATCATATGGCTTCCCCAGCATTGAATCCCAGCGTCAGAATGGCCACAGCTGGAGGTAGGCCGAGCCCACCAAGCTCATCTGGTTCTGTTTCTCCGTAATAATATAATACATTTTATTTTATATAGCGCCTTTAAAGGTGGCTTTTCAAAGCGCTTTGCAGAATGACAACAGCAACAAAAACAATTAAAACAACAATAAAAAATATTACAAGATAAACATGATGAGACTACGCAGAGGAGGCAGTAGATGATGGTACTAAATACAGTAGGAGGAGAGGGGTAAAAGAATGGAACCTGTTAAGTAAAGTTTATTCTACAGAAAAAGGTTCTGAGTCTGGATGTGAAGGAGTTTAGAGAAGGTGACATTCTGATATCCTTGGGGAGAGAGTTCCAGAGCTTTTGGGCATAACAGGAGAAGGCCCTGTCCCCCATAGAGTGTAGATGGGCTTGGGGGATAGTTAGGAGACCAGAATTAGAAGAGTGAAGGTTGCGAGGTGGGGAGAAGGGCGATAATACTGTAGGTCTGACAGGTACTGAGGTGCCAAGCCATTCAGAACCTTATAGGTGAGCATTGAGGATTTTGAAGTCGACATGGAACTTGACAGGAAGCCAGTGCAAGGACTCCAGGATAGGAGTAATGTGATCACTTGGATTCTGGCTGCTTTGGAATTTTAATCCCAGTCATCCCAGTAGCCAGTACTGGTTGTACTGGAAACCGTCCCTTTTCAGGGCATTTCATGGGGATACTGTCCTTGGCAATTTCCACCAACCAGTAAACCATACCCCTGATCAACTTCCATGTCCTGGGGAGGTGGAACGAAAGCAGTGTTCCCAGTGATCATGCCTACTCCACACGGACATGTAGGCCTGCCTGGAGTCGAACACGGGACCATCATTGATTATGGATACGTTTTGATGGTGATAGAGTTAGCAGATGATCTGCTAATCTGATTTAATCTGTCTGCCAGCTCTGTTGTGCTTCATGGCCATCAGACCCTGTGATCGAGTTGAAAAGCAAACTTTTTGTTTAATAGGGCTATAAAATAGACAAAAGATTCTCCACTGTTGGGTTTTTACAACGAAATATGAAGGCGTGCCAGCAAATGTATCAGATTAGATATGTCTTCAGAGAAGCACACACATAGTTGTTCCATTAACTAACTGCCTTCAAATAATGGGTTTGTGATTTGCAGGGGTTGGTGTCCATTGAATCGGGACTTCATCAGAAAATCTCATGGACACTCGTGATTCCTTGTGGTGCTTCTGCAAACGTGCTTCCTCTGCTTGAGCAGTGCTGCGTTTTATGCCCGCTTCCCTTGTAGATGTTTTCTTTTTTTAATCGGGTCATTTGTGACAACCGCACTCCACTCCAGGGAAACGCTTACCAGTTGTGCAGAGGAGACTTGTTGCTAGCTTTGCGTGGCTGAGATTTGCATAACCCTCTGCAGTAATTAGAACAGGAAAGCCAAAAAAAAAATAGTACACATTTGGGCCTGGCTTGCAGAGCAGTCAAAGCGAGCCTGGAGGCTGTCCTTTTGTTGCGTTTTGTTTTTTTAAACAAGCTCAAAATACCCATCACGTTTGCTGAGGCCATGCGCGCCCTTGACGAAACTGTTTGTACCAAGGTCTTGTTTGTACCCAGAACCTCACAGAAGGAAAGGGTGGGGGAGGGGTTGAGCATCTTGAGCTATTCTGGGAAGATCCTCCCTTGGTGCGATGAGCATCTGGGGCCAGCAGAGGGCGTCTTGGCGTGTGTCACCCACGTCATGCAATGCTCTGTGGGTCCCTGCCGGCTCTTCGTTCTTCCTGCAGACCGGACAGTGTTTTCTGCTGAGAATCTTCTTCTGCTTATCGCTTCTGCCTTTGCAGTAAATTCGTTTCCTGTCTGTTCGTCACCCCCTAGGGGTGTAAGGGAGAGAAATCGAGCTGAAAAACTGGCCGGAAAAGCACGCCACCTTTCAGACGGGCTGTTTTTTTTTTTGTTATGTTTGAAGGTCTGCACATGGCCATGGTGTGAGGATGGTGTCAAGGGGAGGCTTTAAGAAAGGCTTGCTGAGACCGTCACAGTTGCAACTCTTCATCGTTAAGGAATTACAGAACGGCCATAGCTGACTCCTTAAGGCTTTGCAGCTTTTGCTATAGCAGTGTAAAACCCGTGTGCAGTATACCAGACTGCAAAGCTGTATCAGTCAGTGCAAGGTGCACTGTTCCCGATCGCAGTCATAGACAAAAGGTGAGCTTTGCTGAAGAGCTAGAATCAAGACACAATCGATGAGTGGCTGAAATACATTTGCACCGTGTGGCAGGCGTTGTTTTTTTGCATAGGCTCAGTAAGCGCTTGGTTTTCACAGCTGAAAGTTGTTTCAGGCACACGGGAAATGAACTTAATGCACTTGACAATAGCTAAGGTGTTACATAGTACAATCGGTTTAACAGGTTGATATTTGTTAAAGGAAAAAAAAATGTATTCACAGCAGAACCTAGGTCCAGGTGTGAAATTAGAATGAATAAGGTGAATGTGCTGCATTGTGCTTCGGATGAAATGGGTTGAGGTATTTATGGCTGGTCTTTTCACAGCAGATTAGCATCTCTGTGGCAGACTTCAGTTATTTTGATGCATTAATACGGTCAGAGATTAGCACAGAAATAAAGAGGCTGACCTTTATCGCAGCGCCTCTTTCTCTTCATTTCTACTTTGAACTCTTTCCTGCCAGTAAAACGAGAAATGCTTTTATTTGAGTATTTTAATCAGCACATTTGGTGTTTTTTTTGTGTGTGCGTATACTCCAACAGCATTGTGAAATAACACTCTCTACGTTTCCTTAGCATTCAAGTGCTTCAGACTCTTCCTATTATGCTTTCTTTAATTCGCAATATCCCCTTCCCCCAGATGACAGTGTGGTTAAAAACTATGGCATGCGAGCAGAATTTTGGCATGCTGAAATACCCGTTAATATTTTCTCAGTGGCAACATTTATTAGCACAAAGATTGAGTTGTAGCAAAACAGACTGGGTGTGAAAACACATTTTCTGACAGTTTTCTCTATCCACAGGGGGCTAGGGGGATTCAGAGAAGGATTATTTGAAGACAGTCTGAACCAAAGACCATGTGTTCCTTGATAAAAAGGTGTTAAACTGTGTAGCATTTCACAAGACTGGGCTGATCCGTTCTCTTGTTGACAAACCATAAAATAGAAGGAGCTTACAAGTAAAGCAGGAGGTGATATGTAAACAGGTGCTTCTCTTTTTTTTCCGTTAAGAGAATTTTTCAGTGGAAAAACTGGTGTTGCAGACAAGTCTCCCTCTTACATTCATTTAGGTATTTTTACAGTAGAAGAGGAGAAAACCTAATGAATTCAGGCATGACAAAGAATGACCGTTAGTTTTGTTTTGTGGTTAAGGAGAAAAGGGGAAAAAAGATATCTTAAAACAAGTTGTTGAATCATTTAACATAAAAACTGAGTGTTTGAACACTTTTAAATGAAACCAAAGGAAGACGGTTTCATATAAAGGATGAATGCAAATGGGTTCGTAAAAATCATAGACAAAAGCCTCTGCAATAGTAATAATAGTGCCAAAAGGTCATAAACTACACCTAAACCTAGCAAATAGTCATGGTATACATACAAAAAGATTATTGTACTGATTACCAAGCAAAGTAGTAGCACTGGCTCATAAAAAAAAAAATTAACACTTGTATGCTAAATCTTTTTTTAACAGCACTACCAGTCACGGTAGTTTTAGCCACAGCAAGATCAGAAGGTGTCATGAATTTAGAGATAAGGTGCGGTTTTAAGAACAATTTTACAGCCGAATGCGTTTGTATGGCCAAGTCAGAAGTCAGAAGCTGTAGAATGGCTGAATAGTCAGCCATTCTACAGCTTTTAAAGAGATGTCATTTGTAACTAACTCAGCACTGTATTAAGTATGGAGTTTGAAACATATTTTCGGAGCATCGCTTTTTTTCCTTGTTATGGTCCTTTGTGTATTATTTGAAAAATGCTATCTCTTTAGCTATGCTTTCTTATTTTTTAAATCCTCCAACAGGTTTAAATAATGTTTGCAGTTGTATTCTGGCTGATGACCTCAGGTCTATTTCCTTGCTAGTTGCATGACACTTTTTTTACCCAGTGTGTTTTTAGAGAAAGCATCGTCTTACAACTCTATAGCAATTAATCTGCTGCTCTCGCATTTTGAATGTCCTCATTTCCTCTTTGTTCCTCTCATTCTGATCCCATATTGATACAAGTCAGCTTTGAAGGAAGCATGCTTTAAAAAATAGCGGGAGATTTTAAGCAAAGCAGGAGGGAATCAATACACAGGGGTTTCTTTTTTCAATAGAAAAACCGGTGTTGCAAACAGTCTCCCTCCTACAGGTGTGCATTTTTACAATCAAGGAAAATATATGATTATATATAATATATTATTTTCAAACCCAAGGATGCTGTACGTGAGTAGAGAAAAAGACAAGAAAAGTAAATGGAAAGAAAACAAAAGAGTATACAATAAGCAATCAGACGTAGAGCTTGGTAAAAATGTACGTTTTAAGGTTAGATTTGAAGAGAGTTAAAGAAGTTGTCTCTCGTAAAGTCTGAGGAAGGTCGTTCCACAGCACTGGAGCAGCAACAGGGGACGTCATGGTCACCAGAAGTCAGTGATTTAGTCCTGGGGACAGTTAGTTAAGACCGATATGTGGTTGTGGGTGACAGAAATTCTGTGAGGATGGCGTGGCGTGGCAGTGGCGCGTACCTGGGGAGCTCAGAACTGGATAGGAGTGTGTTGGCACACGGCGTGATTCCTGGGATAGCTTGGATGGAGCAACAGAAGAGGCGTCTAATCCTGCCTTGTTCTTCCTGCCCTTTTGTTTCCTGTTGTCCTCACCCAGCCCTGGTCATCCCTGCTGCGGAACTGGAACAGCCTAGCGGTCACTCACCCCGGCTACATGGCCTTCCTCACCTACGATGAGGTGAAGGCCAGGCTGCAGAAGTTCATCCACAAGCCGGGCAGGTGAGAAGAACGACAGACACGCACGCAATATTATTATTATTATAATGCAGTTCATC